CAAGACGTGTTTTAGATGACGTTGCAATTATTTTCTTAAAAATTAAATAAAAGCGGTTATAAAATTAAAATTGCACCATAGGTTTAAAAGTGTTCTAAAATCAGATAATTGAGCCAATAATAACAGTTGAGCGACCCTGCTAGAACCACAGAACTTGGGAATGCCTAACACCTTCTTCCGGGTTAACAGAATTCCTTACCCGGATTTCTGGTTCGCAGACTGTAATACAGAGTCAATCTTTTCCTCGATTCGGGATTTGAACCGGTGACTTGGGACACCATAAATTATCCCAAGTGGCGACTCTGAATTTTAAATAAAAATAATCCCGTTTCGATTGTCCTTTAATTGGAAAAACTCCCTTATATATACCCCTTTCGGGGGGTGTAGGTAAAAAGGAGGTGTGAAAATTAATACCTCTTTGGTTGGTAGAGGTAGCAATCCAAGACTGAAATAGACCACAAAGTCAACCAAGACTTGTGACTTAATCGTAGTCCTTGGTTTATATTCTATGTCGAACCCACTCACTTTCACGGCCCATTTGGCCAACCTACCCGAGAGTTCGGGTTTGTAAAGGATTTTCTATAGAGGAAAAGTGGTCACCACGGCTATCGGGTGAATTAGAAGTTGGGCCTCAGCTTCCAAGCAGTGACTATAAGAGCTAAGGCTAGCTTCTCTAAATGCGGGTATCGAGTTTCTGCTCCCTTTAAAATTTTACCAACATAATAAATGGGAGATTATGTACCTTCATCCTCACGGACTAAAACTGCACTTACCGCTACTTTCGAGACTGTGAGGTAGACTAACAGTGCTTCACCTTCTTTTGGTTTCGAAAGTAACGTAGGGCTTGACAAGTACCTTTTCAAATCTCTCAAAGCCTTCTGGTACTCCAGGGTCCATTCGAAGTTGTTTTTCTTTTTGAGCAGTGCGAAGAAACAGTGACATTTTTTTGATGACCGGGAAATAAACCTGCTCAAAGTTGCCAATTTCCCCGTGAGCCTTTGGGCTTCTTTCACGCTTGACATCTTGTCTGGGACATCTTCGATGGCCTTGATCTTATCGGGGTTTACCTCAATCCCCCTTTGCGATACCAAAACTCCTAGGAACTTATCAAAGCTGACCCCGAATGTGCATCTCTCGGGGTTAAGCTTCATATTATGCTTCCTTAGGATGTCAAATGTTTCTTGCAGATGCTTAAGGTGATCACCTGCATTCAAAGACATAACGAGCATATCGTCTATTTAACTTCCATAGTTTTCCCTATTTGTTTTTCAAACATCTTGTTTATGAGCCGTTGATAAGTGGCTCCAGCGTTCTTCAACCCGAAGGGCATCACATTATAGAAATATGTGCCGAAGTTCATTATGAACGAAGTCTTTTCTAGATACTTCGAGTTCATCTTAATTTGGTTGTACCCAGAATAAGCATCAAGGAAACTCATTAACTCGTGCTTGGTCGTCACATCGATCATTTGATTGATGTTTGGCAGTAGGAACGAGTCTTTCGGGCATGCTTATTCAAGTCCTTATAATCCACACACATGCGAAATTTATTATTCTTCTTAGGAACTACGACTACATTAGCTAGCTAGTCTGGATATTTTACCTCTTAGATCGAACTGATATCAAGTAAGCGAGTTACCTCTTCTTTGACGAATTTATTCCCGGCCTCTACAATAGGGTGTTTCTTTTGTCTTACCAGAGGTATGTTGGGATCTAAACTTAACTTGTGTATGCTACCTCCGTCGGGATACTTGTCATATCCGCATGCGACCCCACAAAATAATCGGCATTAGATTTAAGAAATTCAATAAAGCCAGACCCGAGCTTAGGGTGCAGTCATGTCCCCAAGTGGAATTTCATTTCTAAGAACTCTTCGAATAATGCAACTTGCTCGAGTTCTTCTGCCGTGGATGTTTTTGCACCAGTCTCTTCTGGCACCTGGAAATACCTTGGCACCTGATAGGATTCCAACGTTTCTACCCCCGGGCTAACTTCATTCGATTCGGGAGCGGGCACCGGTTCCTGTAGCTGCTATGCCGCATGTTCCTTCCCTTTGCTACCGGAGATCAAAATCGTATTCATGTCCTTTGTCACCGGTTGGTCTCCCCTTATCTGTTTAATTCTTTCAGGCATCGGGAATTTCAGTAATTGATGATACGTTAATGGTACAACTCTCATCTCGTGTAGCCATGGTCTTCCCAGAATAATATTATATCCCATATCACCATCTACCACTTCAAAAAGAGTCATTTTCATCACTCCTTCGGTGTTTATGGGCAACAAAATCTCTCTTCGGGTTGTCACTCTCGCGAGGTTGAATCCAGGCGAGGAGTTTTGTGGATGGAATGATGCTTCCGGTGAGTTTAGCTTGCTCGAGTACTCTCCATTGTATGATATTGTCCAAACTTCATGGATCCACTAGAACACGTTTAATTTTAAAGTCAAGTACATTTAAAGAGATTACTAGTGCGTTGTTGTGCGGTAGTAGCAATCCGTCTGCGTCTTCCTCCGTAAAAGTGATGTTGGCTTCGACAACTTCCCGTAGTCTCTTACTATGGGTTATTGATACATTCGTCTTTTCGTTGTCGAGAAGGTGAACCTGTTGATCTTGTCCCCCCGAAGATCATGTTGATCGTCTGGTGCGGGGGATCTTCCCCTGCTTTCGAGGGTTCTGATTTGTCCCGGTTGCGACCATAGTTGTTCTTAGCCCGGTCACTCAAGAATTTTCTGTGATGATTATTCTTCAACAGTGTCGTCACTTCTTTCTAGATGTCGGCATTCCCCAGTTCAATGTCTATTCGTCCCATGGTATTCACACCACAAGTTGGGATTCCTCTGGCTAGGATCAGATTTCATTGGCTCCGGAAATAGTGCTTATTGGATATTTTTCATAGCTGATACCAACTCTACTACGCTGACATTGAAATTGTATTCTGATAGTCTGGGGTAGGAAGGATCCCGCGTACCTGACGCTTCCTTGTCCTGTAATGATCTATTGTGTCGACCGTGATAAGACCTTATGTCGGTAGCGAATCTATCTGCTGACCGAAAACCTCTGTCGCAGCCTTCAGTCCGTTAATAAGGCAAAAATCGAACCCTCGAAGACTATCTGTCTGTGTCTAAGTTGTCTTTTGATTTTTCTTTATTTTTCTCCCGTCCCTTTGCCGACGATGGGAAACCAATCTTATCATCTTCGATCCTTATCTTTGGTTTAAACCAATTGGGACATTCGCCTAAGTCGTTGCTTGAACTCAAGCAAGATTTCCTTCAGTTTCCGGGAAGCGTCTGAACTTCTCGGATTCAATCCCTTGGTGAATGCTTTAGCCTCCCATTCGTCCGGAACAACCAGGAGCAATATCCTCTCCTTTTGGTACCGAGTAACGAACTCTCGCAACAGCTCGAATTCTCCTTGTGCAATTTTGATTATGCCAGCCTTTCAGGCCTGTACCTTTGTGGCCCCGACATGAGCCTTAATAAAAGAATTCACGAGCATCTCAAAGGAATCTATGGAATGCTCGGTTAACAGTGAATACCATGTCAAGTCTCCCCCTCGTGAGAGTCTCTCCAAATTTATTCACCAAAACAGATTCAATCTCGTGAGGATCTAAATCATTCCCCTTCACCGTTGTTATATAGATGGTAATATGCTCCTAAGAGTCTGAAGTTCCGTCATAATTTGTCACGTCGGGCATTTTAAACCGCTTCGAGATTAATTCTGGTGCCGCACTTGGTTTGTACGGCAAATTAGTATACTTCTTCGAGTCTGGTCCTTTCAGCACCGTTGGTGCTCCCGGGATTTGGTCCATGCGAGTCTTCACTTCTCTCATAAACTGCAAAAGTTTATTCTTGAAGGGATCATTTTCGTTATTGGGGCCGGATCCACTCCCCCAGCTCCATCGGAACCAACCTCGCCCCTTGGGGTGTTTTTATCGACCCTCTCCGTTGTTTGATTTGCGAGAGCTCCAGGAATAACTGGATCTTGTCTATTCGAGTTATTGGAAGCCTACAATAACACATGTTTTAACTCCGTCATAACCTTATCCTGCCATATGAGGTGGCCTAGAATGATCGCTTGTTGCTCTTGTAGGACCCTTACCGCATAAACAACATATTCCTCCTCAGCATCATTGGGAGTTGCCTCCCGAACATGTCGCGGGTATCACCTGTCGTGGACCAACGTGGCATTGTTCCCGTCATTGTGGATGTCACTAATTGAATCCTCAAAATGAGGTTGGTCTACTCGAACTTCAGGATTGTGTGTGTTATTAACACCGTTTATCTGCCCTTTTTAATGATTTTTTCTAAGACAAATAATCAAAACACGTTAGTAATATAGGTAAAGATCAGCTTAATTACACGGTTATCTAGGCCCACGGTGGGCACCAAACTATTTGCTTGTAAAACGGTACAGTTAAATTTGTACGTGATTTCTAGACTAGTGAATTAATTCAATCATGAAATAATAAAATAATTGAAGAAATATGTAACACTTAGCCTTGATATGAAGACGAAAAAATAGAAATAATGATTCTGGTACCGAGGCCTCTAGGCGCAATAGTAATAAGAACAAAAAGTAAGAAGATAAAGTTATATAGAGCTTTGAATAGATTATAGTATTAATTTGCCAGTAAATTCGTGTCCTTTACAATAATAGCTGAGCTCACTATTTATAGATACGTCTAGGGAAAAAGGTCCTAGGATCGTGCCCTTTTTTAATGTCAATTATGAGGGCCATTGATAAAGGTGTAACGGTGAACATAATTGACAAATTCTTTGTAACGGACAATGCACTCAATGCTGTGGAATATTCTTCATTAATGCTACCGAGCGGAGGGTATTTATTGCCACTTTATGAGTGTCAATTCCCTCTGATACCAAACAGGATAATTGCCTTCGTTTCCACGTGTCATTCTTTTAAGCGGCCACTTGGCATAACATATTTTACCCTATACAAAAAATATTATAATTAGACCATTTCTAGAACTATTGAAAAAATGTTGATTAATTAACAGTACAAGTTTAACGTAATGCAAGGGTAATTAATGAATTAGTCTAGATTCACAAGCAGAGGGGTCAAAAGTGCATATGTTTGAATTAATTGAAGGTTAAATATGTTACAATGAAATGACCAAAATCAAAATTTGCCAATATTTCAATCATGATGAAGGAATCCATTGATCGCCTTGAATGAAATTATGGAGAGAGTATGAATAAATATGTTGAGCTGGGATTTTGCTACTCCACAACACTCGTTCTTTGGCATTGGCTGCAGCTCCACCACTATTTTCGAATTCTCCGTAGTAAAGAGTTTTCAAAGCAAATTCACCACTCCAAGGCATCCATCCAGCAGGATTAATAAGATCCCCCAGTTTACATTGTATAAAAACTGTCCTGGAATACTCCTTCCATGGTCTTCCAAGGAAAGTTTTGTGTACACTAGCATTACTGTAGTACAACTTCATATATTCTTCAGTTCCATTGATTGAACAATTGTGGAAGACGAATCCTGTTGATTGTCCTGGCTCTATTCTACCATGAGCAGTTACAGCATTGGTTTCGCCATTCTCTGGATTTACTAGCCGAGGGGCGACTAGGATGTCACAGTCTTGGAAAAAGGCGGCCGCGTTTCCAAATATGAAGTCTATATTGCCTTGGATGCGACATGATTTGTAATACTGTCGCAATGAATTGAGATAAAGTGTGTCCTGATTGCCCAGGAATTCGCAGTTTTCTACGATAGAATGATCACTGCTGGATCGAAAAGCTACGGCTTGTTGAGCATCAGGACCTGCTGTGTTTTGAATGGTTAGACCCCTAGCCATGAATCCATCACCAAGTACTCCTGTTTTACAACTCCCCCCAAAAAAAAAGACATCAGAACAACTTATGAAAGCACCAAATTAAAGTATATGTTCTACAGATTTCATCATAATTTTTGGACTGCTTATATATATTCCTTGAAATCATGTGTAGTAGGCTCATTAATGAACGAAGCTAGGAAAAAATGTTAAACACTTTATTACAGTATGAAATGTAAAAGTACTATGACCATTTGTCTAGAAGTATTTGATAACTTTTCGTTTTCAAGTTTTTATTGGAAGTGTGATAAATTTCTTGATAGTATAGCATGATTTTTGTAGCATTTTACTTTATAAGGACAATCACTATACAAGAACATCCTTTTATAAGAGAGAGTCCTTAATTGAGCAAACTGGTCAAAAATAAATGCAGCCACAATGGACTGTGTTCAATTGTACTATTTCATGTTCATATTATTCCAATTTTAAGAACTATTTTTGCAACCATACCCATTAAGAAAATTATTTAATCATAAGGATTATTAGATTAAGTTACCATTTTACCTCTCCTCAAAATTTTTTGATCATTTATTGAAGCAAGAATAAATTTGAAGAAAAAAAATTAGTGCCTTCTTGATTTTTACTCCCTGGTCCACAATAAGTCACTAATTTACTTTGGGCACATCCATTAAGGAAATATTAAATTCTAGACAAAAATAGTTAGTGTGACTAAACTACCCTTAATTAAGTGTTGCAGCATAGTTATAGTAACACTTGTTTCTCTTTTCAAATGTGAGGAGTAAATGATTTTTTAGGGATACGTACACAAGGATTTTAAAAAAACAAATCAAATATTTTCTTGATTATATAAATGGACACTTATTTTGGACCAAAATAAACACTTATCTACCAAATTAGAAAGGCACATTTAAAATGGACCGTAGGACAGTACAGTTTTATCCACTAATTCGGCGAGCCGTACAAGTTTGCCGGTGCATGATTTATGAGCATTAAATTCTAACACGGAGGCGCCAAGCTCATAATTTTTGTCTACGTTGTGCATAAAATAAAATAATTGAAACATTAGTAGATACAACTGTTTATACTGTATTTGTGGTCTTGAAATTAAAATTAGAAAACTTTAGCCTACATTCACAATCGTCGATTTTTTAGGATGAAATTTGAACTTGATTAATTTAAAGAAAAATTGGTAGAATTATTAAATAAGGATTTACATAAAGATCCTATCGTCAAACAAAATGATCAAATGGAATGAACCACCAAGAAATAATAATTCACTTACCGACCGTAGCAGATTCAAAAGTGGTGACTCCATTGTTGCCCATGTGACCAACATTTAATGATCCAGTAATAACAGTTTTGCCCATTCCATCTCCCAAAAATACCACATTTCTCTTCGCCAAAGGGATTCTAATAATCTCATCATACAATCCTGCCTTGATCCATATAACAAATTTCTCATATACCAAGTAGTTCGGCGCTGCATTCACCGCCTCCTGCACGGTTTTATAGTCACAATTTCCAGCCTTGCAAACCGTCACATTCGACTTCAAACTCGAAGGTACCCCGCCCCTGATATACATTCTGATCGTGAAATGTAATATAATTAAGTAATTAAAAATATATTTCGTCTAACAATTTAAATTTTCAGATAAGGTGAACATACAAATTCAATATATACCTTGTTGGGAAGCGTATCAAGCTAATAGAAAGAAAAGAATATTTAAAAGAGAAAAACAATAAATTGTACAAGACAAAACAAGACAAGATTTACGTGGTTCGGCAATTTTTGCCTACTTCACGGTCACACAAAGAATAGTTCTTTATTAATTGAAGAGAGAAAGAAGAAGTTTTGGGATGATCTACAAATGAAAATGTAGACCCCTATTTATAGGCATTTGAATGCTCTGCCGAGGTAAACGCTTACATCATAAGAATGCCGATGTAAGAGCTTACATCATAAGAATGCCGAGGTAAGCGCTTACATCACAAGAATGTCGATGTAAGCGCTTACATCATATTTTCATCTCTTTTTGATTTTTCTTTCTTTTGTTTTGTCTACTTTCACATACAACAATAGGTTTGGTCCTATCAATCTCCCCCTCAAACCTATGTTACATCAAGAAAGAAAATAAAGAAAGATTTGCTATTCTCTGGTGGCGCCTTCACTCTATCAGTCTTGAAGGCTAACTGAGGCAGTGCACAGCCTCAGTTTGTCAACACCGACAACTTTGGTCAACATGTCTGACGGGTTCTTGATCCTGGTATCTTCTGTAGGGAAAGAATTCCTTCATTTATCAACTCTCGGATATGATGATACCTCAACTGGATATGCTTCGATCTTGCATGAATACTGGATTCTTGGCAAGATGAATTGCACTCTGGCTATCGCTGAAAAGCTCACAATTGTCCTGCTCTTTACCTAGCTCTTTAAGAAAATTCTTGAGCCAAATCATCTCTTTTCCAGCTTCTGAGATTGCCATGTACTCTGCTTCAGTGGTAGATAGAGCAACACTTTTCTGAAGTTTGGACATCCAACTAGCAGCAGTACCACCCAAGGTGAACACGTAGCCCGTGGTACTTTTTTGACTATCCAGATCGCTGCCTAAATTTACATCAGCAAAACCTTGTAAGATAATATTGCTCTTTTTAAAACAAAGTGTCATACCTGAAGTGCCTTTGAGATATCGCAATATCCATTTTACACCTTCCCAATGCTCCTTTCCTGGATCTGACATGTATCTACTGACAACTCCAACTGCATGGGCTATGTCAGGTCTAGTGCAAACCATAGCATACATCAAACTTCCTACTGCTGAAGCATACAGAACTTTGGACATGTACTTCCTTTCTTCATCTGTCTTAGGTGATTGGTCCTTTGACAGATTTAGATGGCTTCCAAGTGGAGTGTTTCTGGTCTTTGCATCATGAAGACTGAACCTGCTTAGTACCTTCTGTATGTACTTTTCTTGAGACAATTTTAAGGTTCCTTCCGACCTGTTTCTGCTAATCCTCATCCCAAGCATTTGCTTAGCTGGTCCTAAGTCTTTCATTTCAAACTCCTCTGCCAGTTGTTGCTTAACCAAATTGATCTCATTTATGCTAGATCCTGCAATTAGCATATCATCAACGTACAACAGTAAAATGATATAGGATTCATCAAGATTTTTGATATAACAGCAATGGTCCATCTCACATCGTGTGAAACCATTTTTATGCATGAATCCATCAAATTTCTTGTACCATTGTCGGGGAGCTTGTTTCAAACCATACAAACTCTTCTTCAACTTACACACAAGGTTTTCTTTACCAGAAACTTGAAAACCTTCAGGTTGCTTCATGTAGATGTCTTCTTCAAGGTCACCATGCAAGAAAGCAGTTTTAACATCTAGCTGCTCCAAATGCAAATTTTCTGCAGCTACGATACTTAGCACCAACCTGATAGTAGTTAATTTGACTACAGGAGAGAAGATCTTGGTGTAGTCAATTCCTTCCTTCTGCTAAAAGCCTTTTACTACTAATCGTATTTTGTATCTCTTCTTACCATCATCTCTTCCTTGATTTTGTACACCCACTTGTTCTGCAATGCCTTCTTTCCTTTTGGTAACTCCGTAAGTATCCATGTTTTATTCTTTTGAAGAGAATTCATCTCTTTTTTCATGGCTAGCTTCCACTTATCAGAGTCTATTACCTGCATTGCTTCAACAAAATGCTCTGGTTCTCCAGCATCAGTAAGAAGTAAATAGTGAAGAGAGAGAGTTAACCTATCTGGAGCATTCGTGACTCTTTTAGATCTCCTCAATGTAGGTTCATGAGTAACAGAATCCGAATTTGATTCAGGTCCTGATTCCAGATTTGGTTCTGCATTTGATTCTATCTCTGGTTCCGGTTCTGGTTCTGATTCAGGTTCGGCTTCTAGTTCTTCTTCAAATTCGGCTTCTGGTTCTTCATCTTCAATTTCAGAATCAGTTGTAATCCCTCTAGCCACTTCATTTTCTGAGATTTCTTCTAACTCAACTGTTTCAGACATTGTCTGTTTGCTGGTGTTGGTTGGTTCTACTTCAAGCTTGTCCTTGTACATCACATTTTCATTAAATGTGACATTCCTGTGTCTTAGGATCTTTCTATTCTGATCATCCCAAAACCGATAACCAAAATTATCATCACCATAGCCAATAAAGAAATATTTTTTGGCTTTAGGATCAAGCTTATCTCTATCATTAGAGTTTACATGCACATAAGCAACACAACCAAAAAAATTTCAGATGTGAGAGAGTTACCTTCTTTCCTGTCCATACCTCCTCGGGAATTTCAAAATTCAGTGGTACAGAGGGTCCCCTATTTATGAGGTAAGCTGCCGTGTTAACAGACTCAACCCAAAAATATTTCGGCAATCCAGAATGTATTCTCATACTTCTGGCTCGTTCATTCAGGGTTCTGTTCATCCTCTCAGCAACACCATTTTGTTCCGGTGTTCTAGGAACTGTCTTGATCATTCTGATCCCATTCTCCAAGCAAAATGCTTTGAACTCTTGGCTATCATACTCTTCTCCATTGTCAGACTTCAGACATTTTAACTTTAGACTTGTCTGATTTTTAGCTTCAGCTTTCCATCTTTTAAAGGTAACAAACACATCAGATTTTTTTTCCAGAAAATAAACCCATACCTTTCTTGTGGAGTCATCAATGAAGGTGACATAATAGCGTGAGCCTCCTAGAGAAGTTACAGGAGCTAGTCCCCACACATCTGTATGCACTAGTTTCAGTTTCTCTTTCTTTGGCGTCCTTCCCACCTTTGAGAAACTAACTCTCTTTTGTTTCCCGTAAATGCAATCTTCGCAACCTAATTCAACATGTTTTAGGTTTGGAAACTTTTCTTTGGATGCCAAAAGCTTCATTCCCTTCTCACTCATATGCCCGAGCCTCCGGTGCCACAATGTTGTATCACGACCATGATCAACTGTTGCTATAGTATCTCTTTCTATTGTAGTTGCATACAGTGTTCCCCTTTTGAAGCCTCGTGCCACAACCAAATTCCCTTTGGTTATCTTCCACGATCCGTTGCCGAATGTTATTGTATATCCTTCATCGTCAATCTAACCCATAGATATCAGATTTTTCTTAAGGCCAGGAACATGTCATACATTTTGCAATTTCTATAGCGTGCCTTGTGAAGTCTTTATATGAACTTCACCTTTTCCGGAAATGTCGAGAGGTTCGCTGTCTGCTAGATAAACTTTCCCAAATTTTCCAGCAATATAATTATGCAATAATTCTTTGCATGATGTAGAGTGAAAGGATGCACCTGAGTCCAGAATCCAAGATTCGACTGGACTGTCTGCACAACAAATTAGTGCATCACCGACTTGTTCAGCAATTACATTTGCTGAATTTTCTTCCTTCTTCTTCTTTGGTTCTCTACATTGACTACTGTAGTGACCCTTTTTATCGCAATTCCAACAAGTAATGTCCTTGCGATTTTTGGATTGTCCTCTTCTCCTTGACTTTGATCTGCCACGACCATAACTCTGTTCTCTTTGGTTAATTCTCCCCCTGCTTTCGGTACTAAAAGCAGATCCTGGGGAATCACTTGATTCTCTTCGGCGAATATCTTCGCTTAGAACCAAGTCTCTAATATCATTCAATTTGAGTTTGGTACTTCCTGATGAACTGCTAACTGCAGTTACTGTTGCAGACCAACTCTCCAGTAAAGATGATAGTAGAATCAACGCTCTGATTTCGTCATCAATTGTTATATTAACAGAACTCAACTAAGTTAATATTGTATTAAACTCATTGATATGTTCCGTGACTGATCCACCTTCTGTCATTTTTAAGTTGAACAATCGACGCATCAAATAGACTTTATTTGAAGCAGATGGTTTCTAATACATATTTGATAACGCCTTCATCAGGCCTGCAGTGGTCTTCTCGTTAATGATGTTAAATGCCACATTTCGTGTTAGCGTCAAACGAATCACACCAAGAGCTTGGCGATCTAATAGATCCCAATCCGCTTTGGACAAAGTCTCTGGTTTCACCTCGGTCATAGGTAAGTGTAATTTTTTCTGGTACAAATAGTCCTCTATTTGCATTTTCCAGAATCCAAAATCTTTGCCATTGAACTTGTCAATCTTAACCTTCCCTTCTTCCGATGCCCTTTTTCACAAAAACAATTTATGTGAATAGTGCTTGTGAATAGTAACGATGATCAATAGTGTCGCACTATTCTTGTGAATAGTACCTGCACCAATACTGTACTTTTCTACCAGAATTACACTGTCTGTGCTCTGATACCAGTTGTTGGGAAGCGTATCAAGCTAATAGAAAGAAAAAAATATTTAAGAGAGAAGCAATAAATTGCACAAGACAAGACAAAACAAGACAAGATTTACGTGGTTCGGCAATTTTTGCCTACTCCACGGCCACACAAAGAATAGCTCTTTATTAATTGAAGAGAGAAAGAAAAAGTTTTGGGATGATCTACAAATGAAAATGTAGACCCCTATTTATAGCATTTGAATGTCCTACCGAGGTAAGCGCTTAAATCATAAGAATGCCGAGGTAAGCGCTTACATCACAAGAATGTCGATGTAAGTGCTTATATCATATTTTCATCTCTTTTTAATTTTTCTTTCTTTTGTTTTGTCTACTTTCACATACAACAATAGGTTTGGTCCTATCATACCTGGTCCCCCTAACACCTTCCCAAAATCCGTCACGCTCTGTCTTTGGCGGACCCCATGATCCGGTTTTGCTCCCGTGAATGTCGTAATTCATGAGCATCCCCAGAGTATTGCTGGTGAACCCAATCAAGGAATCCACAAATACTATAGTTTTTCTCACTTGAACGGTGTCGTTTACTTTTTGCAAACCTGACGAGCAGCCGTGTTGGTACCCCAGCGCGGCACTCATCCATGCACGAGCGTCCTTCATTTTACCACCTGGCAATGCATGATCAGCTGTCTGTTTGAATCTGTACTCTGAAGACTCGAGTCCCTCCATGCAATTTTTCGCGGCGACCGTGAGGTTCAGATTTCCAGCCGAAACATTCAAGATATCCTTCACCATGGCCTGGGCCTTGGTAAGTTTTTGTGAGGAGAGGCCCAAGGCCAAATGGATTATTTGAAGTGTTGTAGGGTTGGAAGGCAAGTGATGATGGAATGAAGCCTCGCATGTTGATGGTTCGCGTGAGGCCTTGCAGGCTCCTCGAATCTCAGGCGGAAAATGGAGGTGATGGTGATTTTTGGCGTAAGAGAAGGTGAAGAATAAAAAGAGGGAAAGAATTGCCAGAGAGAAATGAGACGCCATTGAATTGGATTAATTGCGAGATGGTTTGGAGTTTGTTGGAAAGAATGGTAGGTTTCTTTAAGTTTGGTATTTTTCATGGTTTAATTTAGTGGATCAATGGCTGAATGGCAAGTGTTTGACCAGTGTTGAATTTGGTGAATGGCGAGGAATGCCAGTATTGTGTTCTGTTGAGGTTTTGGGGTGCAGGGGCGGAGGCTTGGTGAGAGTTTCACATGATTGAGGAAAATAGCCTCGTGCATGTGTGTTTTGGACATGTGCCTTATAGGTGTCGGCAGTAGTAATAAATTGAATCACCACGAATCGAAAGAAAGGATTTTATGAATCAGAAAGAATTGTTAGGGTGTGTTTGGCACGAAGCTAGAAAATATTTTCATGGAAAATGAGTGATTTTATAATTTATTTTCTCTTGTTTGGTGAATGAAAAACTTTTTATGAAAAATATTTTCTAGTGTTTGGTGATAGTAGAAAATATTGTTTAGGAAAATNTATCCAATATTTGGACTTTATTTTCTTTCAAATTTAATTATTCTTCTAAAAGTTTATACAAACTCAAAGGAACTAATATGTTGCATTACTTTTTTACGTAAAAATAACGCTGAAATTTGTGCTCCATAACTAAAAAGAAAATACGTTTTTTTTTTGTTCATAAAGAAAGTACTCTTTCTACAACATGAAAATAAAGTACTTATTTTGTTGAAATAAAAGAAAATACTTTTCCTATATCATAAAAAGAAAATCCCATTTTGTTGAAATTAAAAAGAAAAATAAATCTACATCATGAAAAAAATACTTTTTTTTGTTGATAGGGGTGGTGTTGGGGGTGTGGGTGGGTTGGTGGGGATGGAAAATAGGGCGGGGAAGGTTAAAAAAGAGTTTTGGAATTGATAGGGAAAATATTTTTCTCCAATTGGAGGAAAATAAGTTCATGAAAAAAAATATTTTTCAAAATATTTAAGCCAATCAAACATGAGAAAAATAAAAAATATTTTTAGAATATTTTCCTTCGTACCAAACACACTCTTCTTTCCGAATTTTTTTGAAAAGTGAGATGAACGGTTAATGAAACAACGAAAAATAAAGACCTTTGAAGACTACGATGTGGCATGGAATTGTTCAACTACCACTGTGGTCTATGAAACTAATACTTCCTTCTGTCCACAATAAGGGACCAATTTAATTTTTTATTTTGATCCAAAATAAGTGTTCACTTATATAATTAAGAAAAAATTTAATTTGTTTTTACAAAACTATCCTTATGTACATATCCTTAAAAGGTTTTCTTACTCCTCATATTAAATATTTAATTAAGGGTAGTTTAGTCATACTAGAATTTTTGTATAGAATTTAGTTTTTTTTTAATGGGCATGTCAAAAACAAATTGGTTATTTATTGTGGATCGGAGGGAGTACATTGTATTGAAGCGCAAATGCTTTAGTCGAAAACAATGTGCCAAATTTGCTTTTTTAGGTTCAGAACTTAGTCAAAGTTCAAGTGGAAAACGTTTTTTCCTACATCGAGATTTTAGCTGCTAAAGCATGTTTAAGTTCATTTCTCAAATATTACAGCTTATCGTTTAGCTTATAATCTACTACTTCTTTTTGGTGTATGTGAATCTATTTTTATTTTTTGGTTAGTTTAAAAAAAAATGACTCATTTATAAATTTGGAAATAATTTAACTTAAACTCTCAATTATACCCTTAGTGAGAAGCTTTTATAACCACACAAATATTCTAGATCCTTTTTTGACTTGTTTAGGACCACAAATTTCAAAAATCTTTATTTTTTTCTTAAACTCCGTATCTAATCAAACATGTTCACATAAATTGAAAAAGAGGGAGTAGTTATAATGCACTAATTATTGTTGGTGTCATTGTTGAATAAAATGCATGAATTGTTATATGGATACTGCATCATATAAGAACATTTTTGTCTTCAGATGCTATTCTTATTCCACATGTTATCTCGTATAAAAGAGAATAATACGTAACCGTACAAGTTATACCGAAGTTAATACTACAGTTTCTAGTTTCCGATATCAAACTCCACATAAGCATTTGTTGTACTATTAGTTATGCATAAATTATATTAGTAATGCGGCATTTTGTACCAGAAACCAACCGTTATATAAGTAATTAAATAATTTTATAGATAAATTATATTTTCTTATACTGCAAAACGAATGATACCTAAAAGCATTGGGTTTGGATGGGTGAGCAGGTGTGAGTGGGTGAATATGTTAGGGGCAAGAAGAGAAATGTAGAAACACAAAGGAGCAATACCGTCGAAAAAAAAAGAAGCAACTCTTGGCTACCTAGTTTTGCACTTCAAAGAAAAGCTCTGAAAATTCCTAGGGAGAAGAATTTCTAGTACCCACTAACATGTATCCAGTATCAGCATTTATGTTGAATTCCATGGCTTTCTGTAAAGAGAGCGCACTCCAACTTCTTGGAACAATCTGCAAAAATGAGCTGTCAGTGTGTTAAAATGCTACAGCACAGGAATCCAACTTCCAGCTGCTGAAACAGACCTCTTTTCTTTTTTCCTCTTAAGACACTGCAGCTTCAGTATTCCATGTGTCACCAATTAATGTGCCAACCCTCTCTCCTTTAATGGCTTTAGCAATGTTACCTGGTTTATTGAGATTAAAAACGACAACTGCATAATGACAAATAAGATGGGAAAGGTCAGTACTTAATTAAAAGGGAAAGGCTCGTCAATGACACGTCTTGAATCATCCACAAAAAGGTATAGGGATACAAGGGTAGGAAACCTCGTACCTGGAATGTTGTTCTCTTGGCACAAAGTTATTGCAGTCAGGTCCATCACGGAGAGCTCCTTAGAAATTACATCATGATAAGTCAGGTTATCCTGAAGTCGAGCGTCAGGATTATTCCTAGGGTTATCATCATAGACTCCATCAACGTTGGTTGCCTTCAACACCACCTCAGCATTAACTTCAATGCATTCAAAATTTTATTGGTAAGAAACC